TTATCGAGATTTCGAGGCTGACAGGATACAGATCGACATGAAGAGTCGCAAAACGTTACCGTTAATTGCGTCATTGAACGCATATATTTGCTGAAATTTTTTTAACTGTTCGATACTGGACGACGTACTCTGCATACGCTCCAATTCAATTTTTATCCAGGTTCTCTCGAAATTAAATAGAGCGTAACGTTTTGCAACTTGTTTAAATCCTCTGATAATTTTTGCCTTATCTAAATTTCACGTTCGTTTTAATTTCAAAGGGTCTGAGATTTGCAGTGGGCGGACGGTGGTAAGAAAGGCAATCTGGCGCGTAAAATAATCGTACACTTCCTATTCCAGCGAGCTGGCGACTTCATAGAAATTAATGCGATTGCGCGCAGACACCGCGGTGGTGCAATTGCGTTTAAAGAGCATTTATTCTGCGCGAGCCTGTTTTTCTCCCCCGAGACCCGGCAATGAATTATACCTCATCTCAGCGGCATGATGGTACTGTTAGCTGTATTAAGAAAATTGTTTATAGGCAAAATACCGGCGGTACAGCGACAAGAACGGCTATATTGTGCCTGTAAAAGTGTGTGCGCGCCACCGCGTGTGTCCGTCGTGTGTGGGGTGCTGGTTAAGCGAAGCACGTGTTTTTCTTCGCAAAACGAACAGAAAATGCGGGAACACCTGTTACCTGCGTGATGCATTATTTCGCGATACTACCCGCGTCACTCTGGAATACGGAAAGAAGACGACTCGCTCGACGACTCTTGTCCTCGTCCGTCGGGCGTGTATTTTCGGGCAAAACAAAATCGATCGAGCGCAAGAAGAACACGCCCTTGCGTCCGACGGCTTTAATTTCAATTTCAGAGTATTCTCAAAAGGCTTTGCGGAGTGCGCGGTATAATTCGGTTACGTCGATACTTGTCAAGAAACAAATATTTCCTCGATACAATCGCCAATTTGTCATACGAAATTGTATTTCGCGTTCGCTGTGCGTAATTTAGTCCTATAGCTTGTACGAAACACTTTTTATTGCATTCAGCAAAATGGAAAATTTTTTTCTCTCTTTCTTTGATTCTAGCCTATTCTCAATTTATTTTTCCAACTGTGACACACACTCAACAACGTAAACAAATTTATCCGAGAAACGCAATAATTAAATAATTGATCTTTATGAATAATGAAAAATAGTGCATTATATGATTTAACGAAGAGAAAAAATCATTTATTATACGTATAGTATTTTTTTAAATGCTTTATTAATAGTGCACGTTGCAGGATGAAAAATGGTATTTGATAGAGGGAGAAAAATATGAATAAGCAAACCGATATATGCACCGCATATTGGTCCTTTTTGCTAAACGACACTGTTCAAACAAACGAACGTTCGATTAAACAATACTCAGATAAACGACCCGTTAAACGATGTTGCCACAGTAGTGAATATAGCGTAACATTAAAAAATAACATCGAGATGGACAATATCGTTCTCAAACTAAAGGTTTATTAAAATAGCTCCGTTAAAATAAAATAAAATTTAGCATTTTGTTATTTATTTATATATCCTGCAATTTTTCCAACTGTTTACTATTCGAAAACTATGAATAGTTCAACAATAGTGAAACTACTATACATAGCGAATAATGTGAATACGAATGCGACAGTTAAACCCACGAACAACATCATGATTATGAATTTTTAAAATGTCTCTATGCCGTCGAAACAAGTACATCGAGGCAGGTTTACACACCGAATAGCAAACGTTCATATATTGGTTCTGTGTGTTAATTAGTCACTTCGCTGCAAATTATTGGCACGTCGAAAAGCCGATGAAACTACAGGCAGTTTCGACAATTTGAACCACGTTTCCATTTTCAGTTACTTACGCACACATAACGAGGACACGCACGAATCCGCCGCGATTGTCAATAAAAGCTCGATTATTGCATCGTGCAAATATTATGCCTTTTTATTGAACGTGCTCCGGAACATTTAATGTGTATCATTTATGTTATTAATGCGCGATCAAAGATTTACATCTATTGTTACGATCAATTTGCTTTTAAAGTTTGCTCCGAAATTATCAAAATTTAATGTTTCAAACCATGTTTAACGCCAAAGTGGTCGCGTTATCGTTATTGCCAATTAGTGTTTTTCACTTCACGATAATTCTATCCTTCAGCTACACATATTTACCGATATGAGATATACAGAATCGTTTAGATACGTTTCTAGATAAAAAATTGTTTAAAATAAGAAAAGCTGCCATCACCGAGTGAATCATTAATTGGAAAACAATGTTTCGGTAACGAGAGCGCGATGTAGTGAAAAATGCTAAAATTCGAAAATAATCATTTTGAATATATAAATACGGAGCAATGTATATTGATTGTGAAAATATTGTTAGAAAATATTAGTTCCCCGAATATTCGAGGTTATCCGAAAATGTACGGGAAAGTTATAATCGGAATTCGAGAGATGTATTATATGTGAAACAGAGTATACAGAATATTCCATTTAACTTCACCGCCTAAAATATCTTTGTCGTTTCCAATGGAAAAATTCTTATAATCTCGAATATTTTGACTAATAAAATCTCAAAAACGACGACATTTCGAAGCAACGCATTTTCGAATCTTTCTAACTTCGAATTAATGTCATTCCTAGCGATTTCTCGAAATTCTGTGTCATCTCGCCTATTTTGGGTGTATGAAATCTCGGAGTGATGATATTCCGAGATAACGCGTTTTCGCATATTTTACCGCATTTTTTCGTTGCGTTTCCTTTTTTGGGACCTCGCGTTTCGCTCATCTCGCAAACGTAACGCTCGTTAACGGCGACCTACATCGACACGACGCATTAGCAAACACGCCTATAGTACCATGCTCGCGCGATTTCATGATGTTGTTGAAATCATGTATACAGTGGTCCGCGAAGAATTACAAATACTTGGCGAGTGGAATGTAGAAATAACTCTGAATAAAAAATATTACATCGTACAGATGTTAACGCATGTTAATATATATTTAAATTTTTAAGAGTTTGACCCTGTTTAAAATAGAATATAGAATAACAAAGTATCTGTTTCCTGTCGGCTCACCCTGTACAGAGATGTGCCGAAACTTGTAACATTACCGCGTACAACAACGTCATAAATAATGGCACGTTACGGCCGCTACATGCGTATTTGTCGTCACTCGTCCAAACGCGTTGTCCGACCCGCACGATCATGGGACGAGGCACGAGTCTGGGACGCAGGCCTTACGGTAATAAGTGTATCACGCATAAACCGCGTAAATCGGAACTGGTTCCCCCCGTGGAGACCGTTCCCGTTCGTCATTCATGCGGACGCGTGCGCGCAAATAAATACGCGCGCGGGGACACGCGAAAGCGCGGCGAGTGTATACGAGCGAGTGTACGCACCGACAAGAGAGATGCAAGACGGGCTTGTAAAGAGGGCATGGAAGGGAAAAGAGAGGAAGAAGAGCGGCACTCTGGAGCAGCACTTAAGGATAATAAACTACCGCGACAGCGCGAAGGAAGGGGTGGTGCGACATCTTTCGCGACGTACGTACCGGGGCGGCAGATCTTCCGAAATTGATCGTGCTTCGCGCAACGCGCATACTCTCATTACGCGACCAGCAGCGTGACAATAAATGGATTTTTCCCGATGTGGAAAAGAAAAATGACGATGAATATGCGCTTTTCGGCGCGAGAAGCACACGCCTCGATACGCTTTCGCGCGATGTTTCCTTTTTTCACGGATGTTTCTTTAGGGATACAGTACCTCTTTTTGAGCGATATGCGAACCCCATTGTGCGAAGCCCTAAGATACTCGCGTTAAATATCATTGAAATTATTAAAGATAGAATAGAACAGTTGATATAATAATAAAAATGATATGTTAATGTAACAGTAATAACAGTAATAATTAATTATCACATGTAATAGTTATTTGCATAGATAATTAATTAATTTGCGATAAATTCGCGTAGATAATTAATTTATCGTTTGATTCGCAAAAGTTATGGAAATTTATTGAATGTGATCTTTTCAATTATCTTTTTTTCTCTACGCTTTTTGATAATTTCGATTTATTCTTTCTCATAAATCGAACATACTGGCAATACTCATATTGCTCGCGCGAATAGTTTTTTGCCATAAAAATTCCCACATGTATCGTTATAAAACGACGTATCGACGTGCCGTTTTCGGCACTCCTGACATGCGAACGTCAACACGGGGGAGCTCTCGATTATCCGCGACGGCCCAAAGGTCGAATCACGAGCTTAACACAAAATAACGTTGCATATAGACTACAAATCACCGAGCAGTATGCACCATTTCGCGAGTGCGAGTGACGTCTGGTTGGCGCCGATCAAGAGATCGCCCTGGGCGACCCTGAGAGAGACTATCGAGATATTCGGACATCGAGGCTCTCGTACGGACAGCCTCTTCGCTCGAGAGGAGCGATCACCGTACCATGTTCACATATACACGCGCGCATACATGCATGAGGATATGATTCGGTGAATTCAATTCTGGTTGCTGTAAATACGGAAGGAATGTACCTTACGCGGCATTCAACTTTCGTTTCGTGTTTATTATTCGTGATAGACGAGTTCACGTTGCGGCTATACATCGCGAATAACGGCCACTTTTACACACACAGTGTTAGAAAAAAAAAAAAAAAAAACACAGTCGCGACTAGATGTGTACTATTATACCGTGCGTGCAACGTATTTTGATACAGATTGGAGATAGTGGTCGAGTTCGATTATTGCAAGTGACATATTTACGAACGTCGAACTCACCGAAAAAACCACCCTCGTTTCCGCGTCGTATGCATCCGTACCGCATACACGACACGCACGCACACACACGCACGCACACACACACACACTCACATATCTACGTTTGCACGCAGTAGGACGCAGCACGCACAGGGCGATCGACGCGCGGGTGATCGCATCGACGGCTCGTGCCTGCTTCAAATTTGATTTGCACTCACTCACCGATGCGCCCAAGTCGATGGGTTGTCAGCGGGGGCGGCGAAGGATGGTGAGATCCGGAGCACGCCTAGGGGAGACGACGCCGCGCCTGATAAATCCACCGTCCGTGGCCACCGAGGGTTCCCAGCGTCGGCAGCGGCAGCGCGACAACGCACACTCGACAATGGGCTGCACACATAGAAGTAGTGGTACACACTGGCTGTTGGCACTTGTGATCCGCACGCACTATTCACCGCGAACTTCAGAGAGAAAAGATGATGCTCGATAGAAGCCGCGCGGTCAAACAACGGCGATGATTCTAATTACGATTGCGAATGCGATTGCGGCTACGGCTTACGGCGATGATGCGATTCGCACGATTAAATACCTCGGTTTTTCGTTCGTTCGCACCCGCGCGTCGATGCAGGAGCGATTGACAACGACGAGGGGGAGGAGGGTGCGCGTTGGAAGCCTCCTATAACGCGGGCCACACAGTGGCCATTACACTCGCCGTCGCGACGAGCGGAGGAGAGAGCGTGTTTTGTTTCTTTTTTTTTCTCTCCTTTTCGTTTAGAGACACGACGCGACGAGAGTCTATCCGCTGCGAGGTCGTAGAAGCGACTGCTCTCGGGAGACTGGCGGCGCAGCCCGATCGACCAATCGCGCTCTAGCTTTCACCGAGCGCCATCTTGCCCCTACCTAAGCACAAAGAGGCTGCCAACCGAGCGACTGCGGAAACGAACGACCGTCGGCGGCTCGCCGCCGTTTCCACCCCTGCGATCGACGTGCGTTTTGCGGCTTCGCTCCTTCGTCGGTGCCCTAACTTTCGATACGGGGTTTTATGGCAAGATTAAGAACGAGGCGAACAGCTCGCTTATATTTCAAGAATTGTATTTCGCTTGCAATCGATCGACATATCTTCGCTGAACGATTGTCCCAAATAACGATTGTTTTGCAAAAAAAGGGGGAGCGCCTGATAAATCTTTATTAGGCCTTCATTTATGCGTAACACAGATATATTCTAGATATGTCATAAATGTCGCTATATCCCCTAAATAGGCATGATTTTCCTACCGTCACAAATCATATTTAGATATCTATTGACATACATCATGATTGGCTGTAGCAAGAAAAATATTGAATCGTTACATATGAAATGTCGTATTCTATAGATCTTAATTTGACGGAATGCTTTTATAAAGAAAATATTTTCTAATTAAATATCATATTAATGTGACACGATTCTTTTATAAAAATATGCTTTAATTTTTACATTTTTACAATTATTTTAAGCTGCAATAAAAATGTGAAAATATTTAAAAAATTGAAATTGTTATCCACAATTCTGAACCGAATATGTTACAGAAACAATTTGTAGTATAAATTTGACATTTACCATAACATTCAAGATATGAAGCCGCTAACGTATTTTATTTTCCGCTTTTAAACTTCTTACACTCAATTGAAATAAAATTATACAAATAACTTTTTCATTAATTTATTAAACAGCACAATCTTTATTTATCGTTAAACATTGTGATCAAGATATGACAAATATCGATCATTTATCGTTTATTTGTAACTGTTCAGCGTGAATATAAATAAACACAAAAAAATTTTAAAAACCTTGTATAAAAACGCATTTAATAATTATTAAGTCTTAACCCACAAACAGCGATTTCACAGATTATCATCTTTGTATATTTTCCTTAAAAGTACCTACACCTTCTATCTACTTTCCATTTATTAACTCATGTCTTTTTTCATTTTTTGCAAATAACCACGGCGGTTTAACAAACCGCACGTTAAAGAAAAAAAAGTAAGACGTGCTACTTAAGGGATTTATGAGTGTATAGTTGGAGTGACACTTTGGGACACTTTTTGTTTCGCAAGTAACCCGCAATGATTTATTGTCACATAAATCGTAGAACGATACTTCTTTTGATGCATTTGTCAAGAAAACAATTATCTTCAAATTGATTATAAAAGTTATAATTAAAAAAGCATATTCATGATTTTGGGCAAAATTATATATTCTAATGGCGGATTTATAAATTTGTTTTTAATCGAAATGATGAGTCCTCAAATTCGTGGTTAAATGCTCAATCTCATAATCCCAATGTGTCAATAATCCGATAATATATATCCGTGTACTAATTAGTATCGAATTATCGAGATTGCTTCGTATTGATAGTATCAATTTGATAGCCCGTTGGTAAATCTACGTTTATGAGTTTTTTTATATATCACGGTGGAAATTGAAATTCCAAAGAACATGTCGTAACTTACGTATTTATATAAATATGATGGATGTCCCATTTTCCCTATCCTTTCGCCACTTTCGATTTTCCACCTCATAGGAATCAAATTTTCCATGTTTCAGCTTTTCCGCACTTGTATAGATAATCTTCCTACGGTTACATCAAATTTCAATTTTTTATTTTATACCAATGTGAATAAAGGGATGAACATCATATATTTATCAGACGTTTATTAATATTGATACGTCTGTCGCAATATTGAACCATTTATTATTCAGCGTTAATTTATAACTCGTATTGTATAACCAAAATGATTGAAGAGACACTTTTTGTTTAAACAATCTCTGTAATTTTGCCAAATCAATACATATGATAGAATCAATAATAATTATAATAAATGCACTACTAATGCAGTTGCCAAAACAGAAATGTTATATAAATCATTATGATAATTTATACATAGAAAAACAATTTAAAGACAATTTTTTGCCAGTAAAAATATATATTAAGAGTTATCATCGTTTATTTTATTTTCTTATTTTTGACACTGTTTAATTAATTAACAATTTTTTATTTAGATTCATTTTAGCAACTTAATCGTAGTTTTTTGTTCTAATATTCCTCTTTAAAATATAAACAAAGAAAATTTATAAGTTAGACCAACGTGTAACTGATGTAACTGGTCCGCACATCATATAAGCACTTTGGGAACAATTTGAATTGAGTTTAGATTCGAATTGTACAGTTTGTTATATAATTATAATAATATTAGCAATTGTACCAACAGCAATTGCAATCTTACTGAATACTAGCCTACTTTTGTAAACGTATTATAGTTACAATCACACTAATTGTTAGTTTTACAAATACTAATTGCAAATTGAATTTTTCTACTACAAAGAAAAAATGGAAAATAGAGAAAAAGTTTTTTTAAATTTCAAATAAATGGTTTAATTATGCAACTATGTAACTTGCGCAATTTTGCGTTAACGTTAGCTGTTTAATTGCCAACAACGTTGAAATCCGGGCGTTATATCATAGATTTAACCTAAATCAGAAGTCGGATTTTACAAACGCGAATTGGAATTCGCGAAATCAAGCCGCAGTTTTTAAAAATTCCGTATAAAACGAATACTGGACTGCAATATATCGGAGTTTTTGCATTCGCAATTACAAGCTATTGTTTCATAGTACAAAAAAATAACGTTAAAGCACTGTACGATTATAAATCGTTATTGATATGCGGCATACAGAACATATAATTTTGTTAAAATGTTTTAATTTAATTGATTAACTAATTAATTAATTAATCACTTATATTGTACAATTTGTTCTATTCAATTTTACTTTATATATTTTTATAATTTGTTTATAACCAAATTTTTCTCTCTCTTTCTTTTCATCCCTATATTATTAATATATTGATATAATTAATGCATTTATTACCTTCAACTTCTTACAATTCTGTTTCTTCTTTTGTTATACTTCAAATCTAAATATTTTAAATAAAAAATGTACGTGAAAATAGTAAGCAAAATTGCAAATATATTATATCAAGCGTTAGAAAGGCATTGGAGAATACAGTCAGCGCCATCTCCACATGAAACTCTATCGTACAGTCGGTAAAAAATAGAGAAAGGGAGTTATCATCTGCTACTCTCCTCACGTGGCAGTCAAAGTATGCAAGCATAGATTTTGTGGTTATGTTTTACAGTGTCTAAATAATAACACGAGTTAACGATGACATTATTCATATAATAAATCCGATTATTAGTTTTCATCAGATAGACGACAAAGAAATTCATCCATAGACCCAAGTGTTGTGAAAATATTTTTGTGGAAACAATTTGCAAGAGAGAATGGATAAAGTGAATGACAAGAAAACTTTGACGGAGAACGAGCGTTTAGAGCTTGCTGCTAAATTGGATGCCGAATTGGACGAGTACATAAGTACCTTGGAAAAGAAGAGCTATACGGAAGGATGGCCGGAGGACAAATGGCAAGAGGAAATGGAGAAACATCCATTCTTCATGAAGAAGGCACCAGAACCTGGCGACGAACTGTCTCCTCTCATGGAGGGATTGCAACAACTTAAATATGGGAAGGATGAGAATACTCCTGAAGGTACATTATTCTTTGATAGACACAAAGCGTTTGCTATCATTAATGCAAAATATTTGCTATGTTTGCTATTTGTGTAGACTACATCATATTGCGTATAAATGCTTGCCTCTAACAAAACACTATTTTTTTTGTATAGAATTAGCAAACAATTACAAAGAGGATGGAAATTTTAATTATAAATATAAAAAATATCGTCTCGCTATTCTTAGTTACACAGAAGGCATAAAAACTAAATGTAAAGATGATGATTTGATGGCTCAGCTTTACAATAACAGAGCTGCAGCACACTTCATGTTGCAAAATTACAGGTAGATCGATTTTCTAAAGAGTTATATTGACTGATTAATATACTTTATGTATTTTATATAATAAATATTGTGTAACAAAAATTATAGATCGTGTTTAAATGATTGTAAAATGGCTTTAAAATTAAAACCAGAATATCCAAAGGCTTTAAACCGAGCTGCGACTTGCAGCTTTCATATTAAAGATTATGACCAGTGTATAGATTTATGTGACGAATTTCTTGATCAGAGTCCAACTGATAAAGCAATAATGCAATTAAGATCTGATGCTGAAATTGCACAAGTAAGTGTTAATATTGATAGATGTAAATATAAAATAAAGATAGGAACACCTGAGCTAAATTCTTAACTCGAAATACAGGGATATTCAGAAAGAGACAAAAGAAAACAGGACAAGTTAGAAGAGAAATTGAATAAAGAGGACGAGAAATTGATAGAAACAATTTTGAAAAAAGGTATTAATTTAGAATTTACAAATGAAGGAAAGCTGGAATTGAAAGATCTGGAACCTCAAGTGCCACAAATAGCGCAAAATAGAGTACACTTTGACGAGAAGAATAAGCTTGTATGGCCAGTGATGATTTTATATCCAGAAACACATCAAACTGATATGATACAAAATTTTCACGAAGATACATTGTACGTTTTTTATATATTAAAATATATTACATCCTATATATCTATTGCACCATTAAAATATTGTATTGTTTTCAAATTGTTCATAGGTTAATAGAAGAATTAATAGAACTGTTTAAAGAGCCTCCTGAATGGGATACGAAACATCGTTATACTGTCGAAAATATAAACGTATATTTCGAAGGCAAAAATAAATGTTCCCTTCATAAAGTAGATATCCAACTCACATTGGATAAAATCTTACAAAACAAACAGTGAGCAATTTTGATTATTTATTTTTAAGTAAAATTATTTTTAAGTAAAATATAAGTCAAAGAGAATTAACTTATTTTTAATGCTATTTTTAATGCTAATATATTTCAGATTCGTAGTTCGACGGTGGTACTCCGGCTTTCTTCATATTTGTAAAATCCAGTGAAGCGGAGAAACGTTTTTTAGAAAATTATTAAATCTCTGTATTATGTATATATTACACGTGTCATGTATATAAATAAAATTTACAATCAGCGTTGTGTAATGTTTAAATATTGTCACACAATATCTTTTTTATAATAAATATGTAATCTAGATTTATTTATTCGAGATATTTTTTGAAATTTCCAGAATTTTAAAAATTTATTTTGCATCGTTAATTTTGAAGTAAAAATTTGAAATTCGAGATCCATAAATACTTAAAATATTTTTTATGCAAAATAATAACACAATTCCCAAATTCTGTGAAATAAGTGTAAATAAAAATTTACCGCATTTTAAGATTCGGAAAAATCCTGTCCAACTTAAAACGCGGTTAAAAATTCGCTACAGCAATCGTTTCTGCATCTTATACAAAAAGAAAAAAAATACTAACGCGCTCCTCGGACTGTTTTACGATAAAAAAAATGAAAGTCAAACGTAGCAAACTTTCTTTAAACTGAAAACATTCGCATATGCACAGCTAAAAATTCGTAACAGTCATCCTTGTATTTTTTAGCGGCGGTAGTTTTATAGCTTACGAAATATTTCACAAAAGGGAAAAAAGTAATTTATTACAAGCCAAGCCCCGAAAAAATTCCGTTCAGTCCATAACACCCATGCAAGGTAAAAAACGCGGTTAAAAATTTTTAGCTATCATTCCAGTTTTCTGCAAAAAAAGAAAAAAGGTCATTGCATTTCTTAGGAAAGAAGCATGCCTTGCTATACAAAAATAAATATTTTTGTCAAAGATTAAAGTATATAGTACCCTAAATGTCATGAATCGGAAGAAAAAAAAGGGTTTCATAAACGTCATGGGTCGAAACGGTTGAGGAAAGGCTTTCTGTTTCTTTGTGCAAGAAGCAGGTATGACTGTTATAAATTTCCAATTGTGTTTTCTGCTCACCACATTTTACCTATTAAGCTAAAAATTGAAACTAGGAAAAATTTTTCACCCCGTCTTTTAATAATTGCGACTGCGGCATGAAATCCATAACATACGAATCTCGTAAAAATCGATGAGGGAGATTTTATCTCGCATATCCTTTTTATTGTTCATAAAAATCCTATCGACCTGCTCCATCGATCAGCAGAGCACTTTTCGCGATCGTTTCGCGGGGTAAAACAATGGAATCGAGAAGCGGCAGGAGAACTACAAGAAGGTGGTGCCACCTGTAGCACCTGTCCGTGCCAGGTGAGGGAATAAAGAGAAGGAGTTGTAATAGCCTGAAATTCAGTTGGGCCGACGCCGTGGGACACGCGTGTGCATTATCCCGATGCGGTCGCCTTAGAAATTATACTGAACTTCCGTTCGGGTTGGTGTAAAAAAGCTGTGGTGTGCCAATCGAGAGATTTTACGGAGGACACGCAAAGAAGAATAAGGAGAAGTCGAGGATCTTACTTTACTTCAAGTTTGCCATTTACTTGAAGAGAGACGCGGCAAACAGAGAGACGTGAACGCCGTGGCGGAGCAGCGGAACGCGACGCAAACGATGCCAAAGCGATGCAGGCAAAATTCCTCACATTACTCTTGTACTTCGCGGAAATATGCGACTCTTGAAAATCCTCTTTTAATACGACCGACTTTGTTTCGTCGGTACGCGGTGTTGATCACATTTACGCCCGAAAAAATTTCAAGTTGTATTTCGACAAATTAACGAAGTAAAAAAACGCGATGAAAAGCTGCTTTGTCTGCTTTCAATAAAGAAATGCTTTCAATAGAAATTAATAACTCCACTTTGGCATATTTTCCCGCATTTTTCGGCTCACTTATATTCTGTAAATTTAATTACAAGACTTAATTCATTCTTTATATTTGTCCTTATTTATGATGATTGACTTAAGTATTTTGAATTTTACCTTTTTCAAAGATATTTAATAATCAGAGAATAACGAAGATAATTGCAGAGACATTAAGAGAGTATTATTCCTTCTTTAGTATTTGACATATTAAACAAAAAAGTTACTATAATTGCGTATTCAAAAATACAGTTTGTTGTATCCCAGTTTCGAAATCTGAAAAAGTTGAAAAGAATGATGCTGAACGCTTTCAAAACTTTCCCGATTTTTTGCATAGGTATTTTAGCCATCGATTGTTCAAAAAATGTATTTTTTTCTCAGATATCGCGAACGTAATGTAGTTGCAAAATATTAAGCGTACAAACTTTTAATAATTTTTCCATATAATCACATGCAAAATTCAATTAACCAAGAAGTGGATTTTACTTATTAAATGTGAACTTTAATTGTAAATGAAAAAAAATTACTTTGTATAAATATCCAATTGACATTGAGAGGTATTGAAATTAATTAATACGCGCGAGATACCGCTAATTATAATTTCAAAAACCGCACGATACCTAATTCCAGTTTTGCGCATTGCTCCCGAATGCGCGCGTGTCGATGGCCGTTGTCTGATTTTTATTTCGAAATAAAGCGAGGAATGCGTAATGATAATGAGCCGATCTGCGGGATCGGTGTGCCGCACACAATGCCATTAGTACACGACAATGAAACTATGTCGGGCATTAAATTATTCATGAGATAGTTGTTGCATCGCATCGGCAACGATTGACGTGTTACAACGCGTACTTCACACTGCACGACGAAAGTTTTACATTACAATATGTTACGACCTGATTCTGTGAAAAATTAAAAGCCGCGCGTTCACCCGGTAGAATCCGTTAAATCCGTTTTCTGGGTCAAAACAGATCGTCAGCCAGAATCGATCTCGAGATCTCGCCGAGACTCGCCTCGCCGATCGACTCGCCGATCAGAATTCGCAAGATTCGAAGGACCCTTGCACGAGATTAAAGACTGGCGCCGCGGTTGGTTGCATGTCCTAATTTCACGCAGGACGCACCGGGCCACAGTGCATCTTTGTCCAATGCCCCCGAGGGCAATATGTGTCGAGGGAATTGCGTCACGCGAGGCACGCATCGTACAGCAAGAAAAATGCGCGAGCGGGCCGACCGCCGAACCGGTTGTAACGACGAGTCAACATCCAGCGAGAATTGCGGATCGGGAGAAGGAAACAACTATAAGAAATATCATATGTTCGATACGAATGCCTTATTCCTTACCATAAAACCGAGTTTCTTTTTCAACAAGTTTCGGGCATTTGTTAAAAATCTTTGCAATTTGTGAAAGAATAATATTTCAGTACACCGATCGTGTATCAAATCTTCGATATTTGATTTCCGGTGCCAAATTTTTTTTATGTCGTACAATTGGATCGCTTGTATTTGATGGACCAGATTACCGAAACTCAATAGAACGTCGATGCCTCTTCAAATAGCGCGGAATCATCTCGCGGCGGGCTTGGTTACGCGTCAAGACAATCGCGATCGCGCAGATTCCGATCCCGGAATCTCTCTTTGTCTGTTTCCATCTCCCTCTCTTCAACTCGTCCGTTTCTATTTCTCCTAGGTGACGATGTTTCACGTGTATGTGTTCGCGTCGTGACACGGTCTAACGGCATTCACCCGACCTCGTCACCCGCTCCTCTCCTGTGGCCGCGTATATACGTGCATTCCCGCGTCTTCGCCGCTCTTACGTCGCTCGTGATAACATTACCGTCACTTGTGTGTAAGCACAATCGTTTGTCGTATTGCGGCGGGCCATGCGAATCCTACACAGTCGTACCGAAGTGCGCTTTATCTTACGAGCTACACGAGCAATTTCGCGCTGTGTCAACGCCCATGTATTTTCGACATTTGCTTGCATATCTTGAATATTTTTGAATCCAACTTTGAATTTAACTTAGAAAAGTGTTGAGACATTCAGCAAGTTAAGATTATTTTTTCGAAGGTGTAAAACACGTTTGATTAAAAAATTTTTCCAAGATATTCAACGATCTTTAATTATACGTTAAATCTGTCGAGGGGCAATTAATTTTGATAGGTGCACTTTTTCTATTTAAAACACTTTTTTGCTATATATCTAATACATTTCTTCGTATTTCTTTGTATACATTCTTCGTACGTAATATAAAGCACGATGTAAGAGAATGATGGGGCGTTTTATCGATAATTAAACGAAGCAACGTACGCTGTGCAAGCAACAAAATTGTGTTTGCCACATATATTCATTTATTTAAGATAATATAACACTGGAATTTCTTTCCTTTCCTTCGGTGGGAGATTACCTACGTCACAGTTAACAAGCGCAGTAATAGGAAAATACTTGGTGTACATTTAAGTCTGACTTTAATAATGCACAGCGACGCGGACGCGATACATTACGTTCGTGACAATTGCTGCTCCAGTTCCGTCAAGAATGTTGCAGGACAGCATTATGTATCAATCTCAGTGTAAATTAATTTTCCAACAACATCGATAAATAAACTAAAGCGATCTAAACTCGCGTTTATAATCACAAAATAAAAATTTTGAACTAAAGCTGCGAATAATTTCCATAAAATCCAAATTGTAGAATTGTCAGGAATATTGAATTAAACTTTCTTATATTTGAAAAGAAATTCTATCTCTTGGGATATTTTTTCAGAAGGCTGTAAAAAATTGAGGAATGAGAAAGATATAAATGTGAATCATTGATGTACTAACGGCAATCGTGTTTTTTTGCTGCAATAATGAGCGCTTGAGAAATGTCGAGCGGCAAGAAACGGTTATTACATCGTACCTCTTAAATTTTATCATACCGTTAGCGATTGTCCCGCTGCTGCTCGCTTATTACAGATCATTAGCAATTCGTTGCTTCATTTTATTTTAGCGTTCTAAGTTCAAGTAGCTGTTCCCTCACAACGTGAAACTGGTTCTCGCCCGGAGGAAAAATACGAAATTCTCCGCGTTTTCTCGCTTTTCGCGTCCTCGACGAAATTTCCTTATTCCATTTCGCGCGATCTTAAACGGAAGACAACTCGACAGATTTGTGTGTTTTTGCCTTAAAAATGCGTGCCGGCATTCTCCGACTCTTCAATTCAAATTTAGGTCAATGCGAAATGAAACTCTATTATTCCAGAGCCTTGGCTTCTGTTCGCGTCGTTTGTCAATTTTGCGCTTGGAATTTTCATACAAAAGCATTACTTTAGTAATGCTATGACTTCATTCTTCCCCTTGTTTCGCGATATGAAATTTTCAAGTTGGAAAACAGAGAATTTAAGATAGAAATTTAAATTATAAATATATATATTTCATAGTTGCTCTCGTCTTTTAAATATTTTCATTCTTAAACTTTCTCTTTCATAACGTTAAAATTTAAAGAAAATATGAAACGTAGTATTCGTGTTATCAAGTAATGCGCTTGTATAATAATGCAGGTGTTTAAAAATTTGATTCGATGTTGAGCGAACAATATGATAACATTTTCAGTATTTTAAAGTGCAAAAAAGTAATGTTTGAAATGAGAGATAAATGTCCCACTACTTTCAAAACGCTCGTTGCATTCTTACACCTCCTCGACGAAAACACTTTCGATAAAAATGATAGTTTATCGCCGTCGTTCGTCCGTAGTCTCTTACGGTTGACATAGCGTGAAACTTCGTGTAGTAATCGCCTAACGATTTCTCTTAAGGTTGACACACCATGAGATTCCGTGTGATAAAAAGACGCGCGTTTCCGAGATACCATTAAGAAGTCGCGACGGTATTCAAGGTGAATTCTGAAGCTTCTTCTAAATCCTGAGGGATCGCGCACAATAGCACCGATTATAAAACAAAGACGCAAGGATATTATCTCGCAGTAATTTAAGCGACGCGCGTGAAAGGAACGTTGCTCTCTCGTCCGAGAGAAACTTCTCAGGTGACAATCAAAGAGAAGAAGAGTCCTCTTTCGCTCATTTGAAAACCGGTGGGCGTCGAAATATACGTAATAAAAGATCGCGGCTGTGTCTATGCCTGAACGACGCTTCGCAATCCACCACCTGTGGCTTCTGATAGCTCGTCGGATAAAAGAGAAAGACAGCGTCGCGACGGTCGCCGCGGGGTCTTTGACTTTCAGTTCTCGAGATTAACGTTAAGCTCCCATTTTTTAAATACGCTCTCTTTCTATTAACCGCAGGTAGCTGTGTTCCGGCTAATTGCGAAGGAGTGTTTCAACCGCGCGTTTGGGAGACGACCGATTCGACGGAGGAAAATGTCAAGCTTCTTTCGCGATTCAGAGTCCCTTGGAGACCCGGAGTGACCTTCCGAGACGCGACGGACGAAGCGGCGCTCGCTCTGACAAATAAAAGTTGAAAGCGAATCTCTCCAAAAGCGAAATCAGCTTGTTTCTCACTGAAAAAAATCGGCAGCGCTAGGATCAATGCGGAACAGATATTGTCGGAAGTGATCTCGGATGATCGCGCCGTAAAGAGATCGTTCCCTGAGAAGAACGGACTAGAAAGCGCATCGTGGGCCACCTGAAAAAACGCAAGAGATCGCTCAACGATCGGAGGTGGAATCGGCCGCGATTCCTTTTTGCTTCTTCGTCGCGAACCGTGGAAGGTAACACACGAAAAACGGCGAACCACTACGGGGTGCATTACGCGAGCTCGTACGCGTGCAGCAACGGCGCACCGAGTGTGTACACCAGCACCGGTTGTTGCACCAGCGCGAACGGCTTCAACGTGCAGCAACCGCAGCTCCACGAGGATTACCGGCCGATCTACTTTTACGTGGCGCAGCCCTACACGATCCCGTACACCTTCGCCAAGAGGCCGAAGCCCGCCGCGTCGTCGCTGCTAAGAGCGTACAAGCCGCGCGGCAACAACAATTGCCGCGTCAAGTTCTCCAAGCGGCTTAGCAACGCCGACTTCTCGCAGAAGGTCAAGCAGGGCGAGTTCTCCCGCAGCCTGAATCAGGTGCACTTCGCGGAAAGTCACGGTCAAGGTTACTGTCTTATATTATATCTTACGACTCGCCGAGAGAAATTTTAAGTTCACTTTCGAGCCGTTTCAGTTTCTATTTTTCGATATTATGTATTTACTAGAGTTCGCGGTTTTGCAATAAGTTTTTCCAATACCTGGTTATTTATTTAGCTTTCTAACGAATTATTAACTGTTCAATTTAGCTCTGCAATGCATGAATGTTTTATGATACTGCATTAAATATTCATCAAGTCGATGAATATTATTTTCTCAATGATCTAATAAGCTTAATTTTCATCATACATTCAAATCATATTGTATACTTGAGTTATAATTGAGCATATGTATGGAAATCGAGTTGTGACGTGAGTATAATGACTAAAATTAGTAATCTATCTAGAAATTATCTCGTCAATCAAGTGCCAATGAGTATTTGCATAAAAGTTGCACGAAATATCGAAGCTTTGCTTTGAAGGCGCTTTCACGCTCGCGGATTTTTTTAACAGACCGGATAATTGTTGCGAAAGCGGCATAGTTTCTGTGTGGCATAATTTAAATAGTGACTGTCGTCAAGTAGATTACCGATGCTCACACGAAGAGAGCGTCTCGTTCTCTTTTTCTCTCGTACGAAAATACGCGCGTGTCGCACGCGTCTCCGGTCGGTTAAACGAATGGAGAAAACATCGTAGAGAGAAAGGAAATGAGCTGCGCCGATGCACAATGATGCGAAAGCTGTAAATTGCGGCAAAAGTTTGTTTTTCTAAAAAGGTAGTTTTTCTACACAAATAAAATTTGCAGCAATCGCACAATTTTCTCAGCGACAATAAAATAAAATAAATATTTCAAACAAAAAAACCGATATACTACAAACGATTAACCAATTTTATTTCTAAAGATTTAGCCTATCGAGTTTTGAATGTCGCAATAAATTAATTACACGCTTAAAATTTATTTTCGTTACTTTTCTTCTTATTTCCGAGCCGTTACGTGAAATGCGGATCACGGAAAAACTTCTCGAACGTAGCACACAAACGCTATTTCCGTTTCGTTTACGCAAGAAGGATCGAAGTGTGTTCCGACGTTAAAAATTGGTACTGTTATTCGGGTTGGTGGCGGGAGGGGGGGGGGGGATCTTCGCTAGTTTGCTTCGCAGGATTCTCATGTATGCAACGTAACGCGCGGATGATGTTAATAAGATGCAGCGAGGCGAAACTCTACTCTACGCAAGATCGTGAAAACGTTTGCTTTCCGCGCTACGTGGAAAGATAGAAGATGAAAAGCATTCTTTTCGCTTCGGCACGAACGAGCGGAAGAAGTATGTTTCGCGGTTTTTTCAAATAAATACTTTTGCAGATATCTATTGGGCGGTCGTGAGTTCGACATGTTTCACGAAGTGAGAAAGAATCTTCCTAATATCTTAGGAGAGAAAAATACTGAAGCACTTACAATTCCTGGCTACTGATAAATAACGAAATCTTTATTTCAACTCGATTTTAATTGACACTTAATTAATCAAAACGTAATGATTATGAAAATAGCATTCAAACTTTTACTAGGAATAATTTTACTCTGAAATATTCGAATTTGAATATTTAGTAAGACGTATACGTGTTTTAATCTTTCTTTCTCTCCTTTGCTTGCACAGTGCTTGCGAGCTATCCAAAAGCTGGATCATCGTCTCATCACCGTGATCCGAGGATGACGTCGATGTTTCGGAGGGGCACGATATTCGCAACATTTTTCCTATCATTATTGGGTGGAGGGCTCGTCTGTGCAGCCCTTGTGACTCAGCACTGGGTTGAAGCGCGACCGTGGAGAACGCCTAATCCTCAAGAGAGCGCCGGTCGAGTTCACTTCGGCCTGCTACAAGGCAAGAAGGAATTAAACGTCGCTTACGGATGGAGGACGTATCACGTATCTGGTATGTGTCGATCCCTTTCCGCCTTTCTCTTCGTGCAAAGTGTTTTGCGCATAACTGTGTGATTTTTTGTTATGACGGAATAGCGCAACCTTGAATGGCATGCTGCTTGATTAATAATCGTACGCGATCGGAAAACTGATATAATACGATATTACTGCTAGCTATGATTTCAAATTACGTGGTTTGTTACAGTAATATGTGAAGTGTTCTATGACTCGCAATCTTAAATATGTATCGCATAATTAGATAATTGGCAAACAGATTTTCTTGTTGGAATACAGATTTCTTCGATAACAGTTGCGATATTGTAGAATTTTGTTAGAATCGAAAGGAACTCGTAGAAATACATTTTGTGAGAATTTCATTCTATATTCATTGTATATTTAGAACGTTTTATATTCGGATTAATCTATGTACAAAATTATCATTGTGAATTGTATAGAATTATAGAAAATTGTCTATTTAATTTATCGCGAAAAATACGAAAAAAAAGGATAGAAAGATATTCTAAATCCTTTTAAAATTGCTTTTTTTTTTTACTTTGAAGCTCATACCAGGATTATTCTGCTTGTCAAAAGCTATTCTTTCGCGATAACTTCATAAATCGTAACGAGACTCGAGTTTTTGTGCGATCGAACGCCAGACACTTTTTGAATTGGCGCTCCTGACTCGCACAACGAACTATGATCGCGCAGAGATATCCGCGAGAGAAAGGCTCGTGGATGACCGAACATACTGGTATGTTGCGGCAGGGCTATAAATCTCTGATTGATAACCGCGTGCATTAGAGTTCTATTCGGCGTCCAACGATGCCTGCGGTTGATCGCGGGCGCGCGACGCGCATGCGTTCGCGATAAATCATCGATTTGATAATCGTCGTTAAATTCATTCCATTGATTTTGTGTGCCGATCGAAACGATCTCACATCGTCGATCGCGAAATTGGACACGCTGTCATACCCTTTGTACCACATGCTCGGGGCACTGACAATAACTCTCGAAAAAAAAGCAAAATTTATAAACGTAATACCAGCAGATTGAATATTTAATAATTGCTACAACGCGATATTTAATAATTGCTACAAATTTCAGTATCACATATTACATACAGTTATTTTTAATACAATAATGGAAGAAGAGTATTTTTTAAATATAGTTTTTCGATCGATAAATTTCTTTCGTAATAAAATTATTTCTCTGCGCTTCGTTATATAATAGTTGTTTTTAATCAAAGTCATTATTACAAGAGAAGAAACTGTATCGTGCTATAACCCGTGTATACTGACGGTCAAAGCACTCAACCGGAAACATCCGCTCTTCGTAGTAACTCAGAATACCTGTCTTCGCAGGTGGAGTCTAGAAAATCTTGTTTTAAGATCGCAATCAATTGTGGAATTCATATAAAATCGCATCGTATTTTTTGTAATAATAAAACGTATTAATGATAAAAATTTATAAAGAATGTTAAACAAATTAATATTGAAACATCTTTATTTCCGAATGCATAAGCAAACTTTTGATGAATGTAAAAAAGTCACAAAGAAAAAATAATCTAAAGAGTGAGATAACAAAACAATGGTAAGCCAAATCAATTCTGAAATCAAATAAATGAGACAATATTTCGGAAATCCTAGAAATATTCGAAAATAATCTCAGAATTCTCCAGAATTAAAATTTTCATAATTTCACTTTTTGAAATTGACTTTTCTGAATATTGTGCACATTACCAAATTCACGTGCTGCTATCGAAAAATCTTTCTAATCTGTTCAATCATCTATTCGTCCAACGCTCTTTTGTGAAGCGAAAGGTGCATTGTGCTACGCGCGCAAAAAGGATAAATTTCCTATGCACAATGTATAATAACCATACCGATGAGCAAGCGACTTTTACGTAGCTATTACGCCGCGCTTCCGGAGAAGAACAACAGAATCGCTGGCACGCGCCGTGAGAAACATTTCTCTTTCATTCAGGCGGATAATGAGTTCGAAGGGATACTTAAATTCCACGATTATGCATACGGAATATTCCAGAATTACCTCATGATCAATTAAAAGTTTTTCGACCAATTCGAAAGGGGGGGGAACTTCACCTCGACGAAAAAATCGTAAGATATTTATATTTTACGACTTTTTAATTGTCATGTATTTTTCATGTTAAATTAAAATTCACTTAAAGTTGAATCGGAGATTCCGATTTCGGCAGTTATTTTCTGACGCTATTTTATTCTGAATTTTTAATTATATAAGAATTATAGATGCTTGACATTTTCACTCGGGAGAAATCGATACTAAATCAGTCGAAGAATCTGTCGAAAACTATCCCGTGGTCTTTGTATACTGTACAGATCCGACAATTATACGCGCGTATATGCTTACATATTTTAATTTTATGGCATTATACGAAGAGCGTCTTTGAACGTTAGGTCAATAATCGTTCTCGTCGTTGTGCAACGCGCCTATACATTAATATGCATGTCACAGTTGTATCAAGATAATCATCTTGATCACGTTTACGTGATCACTGTCATTACGATATTATGTCGTTTTTTTAATTTAATTGAAACTTTATGTCACGATTATCTTTGCATTTTGTGAAACGTAATTATTAATAATTTTCGTGGCGTTTTCATGAGACTGAATAAAATAATCATAAAAAAATTATTTATATTTTACTAGATTGCTAAAAATGACAATTCACAATATTTCGAAAGAAAATTTGACAGATATCAACATAGTTATCCAAGAGAAAGTGCAAATGTATGTTCAAATTTCTTTCAATGCAGAATCACAGATATGTGCGTGCCTCTACACATTATATGTGCAACAAAAAAATCAAGCCAAGCTACGAGACGTAACAATGGATGCAGAAACTAGTTTCCGTGCACAAAAATCAACGACCAAGCCTCGTGATCTACTTTCACGCGCGCGCATGTTCGTATCATCAGAGTTACTGATGCTGACCACAGTAAGAGTATCGAATTCTAGTACGCGATTAAATTTATGCAGGCCAGAAAAAAGAGCGGTCAATAATTCCACCCGATCGCGGCGATCGTAACTGTATTATCGGGCAACTAAATACCCAACATTTTCTAAAAGTATATTTTTATATTATAAAAAACGCTTAATAAAAAATAATTATGTGTAAAAAAATTTCTATCATTTATACGTTTATAAAAAATGCCGAGAGAGTGAAAGAGAAAGAGAAAGACAGAATTTGAAATGTAATAATAGAATCAGATTTGTGCGAGAGAAAGGAGCTTTATTAGACCGAAAGTTAATTTAGTGAGCTAATACCGCTTTGCAATTTCGCAGCTTCAATTTTCGTTAGAGACAGCTTTGAGAGCGTAAAAATGATAAACGCAGCATGTTGGATTGAAATGAGAGAAATATCAACTGTCGCTAGATACGTTTTTGAGTACTTGAGTATTTTGTGGCAGATGCGTTTTGGAGTCGAGCGATACTCGCGGAAGTTGGCGGCCGCCTCCGGCAAATGCAATGATCCGTTATTCACGCCGTCGTAAGTTGAAATGTCTCGCGGAAACTTCTTCGTATCCTGGAAGCGTAATGCGCGAAATATTCCCACTTATACTCGGTCTTTCTCTCTCTCAAATGTACGTCACGCCCGAATATAAAATGTGGCAACGGCGGCTTTTAGTTTTCGCGGCGAGCAGCAATACATTCGCATCAGCAAAGGACATCAGGAACATTGTGGATATTTTCGAGTGTGAAAAGTTACTAGAGATATATTCTCATATGCAAAGTTAATCGCTCTCTCCCGAGAACTGGCTTCGTTTCAATTTTCGGTCATTATGCAACGCTTGCATAATCTACGTCCTTATTCCAGATACGTTCAACGTTTGGAAAATTAATTTAAATTTACTCTGAGAGACTATAATATAAACACCACAGAAATATAACGAGATAATATTGAAATAGTTACGTAAAGGGATATAAAATAAAAGTTATAGCATTAAAAACTTGAAAGAGGAGCTATGATGTTATAATGTGATTTTACCGTAGCAATTAACAACATTAAATAAAGTGGTTAATACATTTTGCATTGTAGCATATTAACCAAAGTAATCATAATCGCAACTCTATCATAGATTACATCCAATCCATAATGGAAGGCATAATTAATCACAAGCACTGATAAAGTATATTGCTAAATTTTGCACATTGCTAGTAATTATTGACAAATAAAATTATCCGGGTAATTTATGTTATGCTGAAGTTAATTGAAACACAAACCGTTTATATTATATGTAATAGTAAAATTTGATTTAATATTATTAATATTGCACAGTGAAAGACTCCGAAATTTTACATTTTTAAGTTGATTCAATTCTTGTTCCGATTGTTATTAATATTTTAATCAATATTTTAGTTCCTCAAATGATTCGACAAGATCCATCAGTGATGTCTTGGGCTCTCTGGATCGCTACGTTAGTAACAACGTCGGCTGCCTTGGTAGCAGCTGCGCTTGCTGCACTTTTGGCAGTTTTAAACACAGCTACTTCACCAAGATCAAAAATTCTATCCATTCCTGGCGTATATTTTATAAACATGTTAACACGTAAGTATTTTCTCAAGAATATTATTAAAATTATCAAAAAATAAATATCGTTAGTACAACGTACACTTCAATTTTTAATTATTTAATATATCTATAAAATATATTCAAATATTAATCCATAAAAATATATTTTGTGGATTAATGTATCACAATTTGTTTTATAAGAATTCTTATAAATTTCTAAAAATGAAAATAAAATATCTTAAAGAATTCACACAAAATACAAACAATTAGATAGTTTTAAATATTTTAAACTCCTAGTTAACTGTATTCCACGTGTAACACGGATTCTCACTCAATTTGTTTTCAGTGTTAATGTGCTTAGCAAGCACTTGTACTTGGTTAGCGCAGTATTATACAAGACTGTACGTTAATGTGCTTCCGAAGGAGGACATCGATAATATGTGGACTAGCGAAGGTTCCGCCGAACTTGGTTATTCATTTTGGTAAGATGATTTTTCGAACTAACAAACAGCTATTGAGAATCAGAAAATTTTTCATCTTTATGCTTTCTTATTTATCATTAGTTTGACTATTTTAAATATTCTCATCACCATTAGCTAAATCAGACGCAAATATTATTTTTGCAATACAATTAAGAAAAAAATGTCTCTTTTAAATTAAAGTTTAAACATGCGTCTTTCACGTATGCATGGTTCTCATTCTTTTTCATATTCTTATATTAGTTAATGCATTGAATATTCGAATATTTTTTCAGGCTCATTGTTAGCGCTGGCGTTATACACCTGATCAGCATAGCGTTAGTCGGCTGGGGATCAGGTAGAGAAAAAGACAATCGTCTGGAACCAATACCCGCGCTCGAGGAGAAAACAGCCGCAGCGATAATGTTGTATTAAATGTTATTATAACATCGTCTAAATCGACGCAAGCTATAACCAATTTACGCTACCGTGTAAAGTTTTCGAACTAAGTATCTACATCGAGACTGAACGGAAATCAATTAAGCAGAGATTAAAACGACACAGTTTCGTTTATGCAGATTTGTGCCTCGCACAGTTCCTAAATATCTGCCAAGCGTCATAACTAATTACTTGCTTAGAAATAATTCATTTGCAGCAGATGCTGCAATATCGTCACTCAAGTTAAAGCATGAGCGTATAAACGTATATGAAATATAATGCTTGACACACCGAAAGCATGAAACGCGCTAATAAAGGACAGTACTTGCTGTGACAAGTTGAGAGTTGGAATACGACGCCGCGTACCGCTTATATACATACTTTGTAACTATATACACGTGTTATCACAATTATATGTACATATTTAAATAATTTAAATAAATAATGTAAAAATAATAGTACTCACCAAGTAGAATATTGCTGCTTACCCCACCCGTTGCCAATTCCGCCCTCAACTGCTCGACTCGTCAGCTCCATCGAAGAAAATCGACGATTAGAAACGCACTTATTGTTGAGGCGCGCCAAATAAAAATCAATCGCACATTTCATTTACAAAACGAAACTTACGGATTTGTATTGCACATTTGCCACATACATTTCGCGGTGTACGAAACGTACTTTTCGAGTCACAACGCGTTCAAACACGAAACTAACAATATATCGATACCGTATATATTTAGGACGAACGAGATGAACGACGCAATCATGCGGTAATCGTCAAATAGACGTACTGCAACACAACAACTAGATTAGATTGATCGAATATGGACCAATACTTGCCGTCAATTGAGTATCGATAAACAACACCGGCTAAATATTTAGAAAAAGAAAAAATTAAGAAGATTAGATTTGAGAGACTATAATAATCCAGCAATAATATTGTTTAATATGTCGCACGATCTATTTACGAGTGATTTGTGGCAATGCCTGAGATTTTTTAAATTTCAAATTTCAAATTCCTATAATTTCTTATTATAGTCATCTTGAAGACTTAAAAAATAAAAGTAATATATTTAAAAAATCATATTTTTGTGTTATACATCGAAATAAGTTTCTCTTATAAATTTCTTGGAAACTTAATGCGTTTAAGCCGAGCATTGAAAGACAAACGGCCGCAATATAACGAGAGACACGATAAAGTGATTTTGCAGCATGACAATGCTCGACCACATGTCGCAAAGTCGGTCAAAACATACTTGGAAACGTTGAAATGGGAAGTCCTACCCCCACCCGCCGTATTCTTCAGACATTGCTCTCTCTGACTATCACTTGTTTCGATCAATGGCACACGGCCTGGCTGACCAGCACTTACGTTCTTATGAAGAAGTCAAAAATTGGATCGATACGTGGATCGCCTCAAAAGATGAGCAGTTTTTTCGACGCGGGATTCGTACGCTGCCCGAAAGATGGGAGAAAGTAGTGGCCAGCGATGGACAATATTTTGAATCGTAAATGTACAACTAGTTTTTTACAATAAAGCCTCAAATGTCGAAAAAAAAAACGGCGGAAGCAAAGTTGTACACCTAATAACATTCGAAAACCTACTTAAAAAATGAGCATATAAGTAATACACTTAAGCGTGGAGCTTAATTAAATTAAAGTAGATGGTTATTTGTGTGTGTGCTAATTAGCAGGCAAAAACCAAAGTTTAGCGCATTTCATAAGTGCACTTCATCAATCGCAAGTGTCGTTAATTTGGAAAATACATTCATTTCGACGTATACCGCGAGAATAAATAATATTTCATGTCCCACTCGAAATTGTCCTACTAAAGGACAATTAAAGTTAAATTTTACATAAATTTTCATTCATATTCATTCGTGATGTACCTATCATGAATTATGAACAATACAATAATACAGGTAAGAATCAGAAATGTAACTGTCGGAAAGCAAGTACTATTAGTTATTATAAATCAATATATAAAAATATATTACGTTACATTTTTACGTTAATATTTTTATATATAAATTTATAATAGTTCTTTTGCGCTTCAGTAACTGTGTTTCTGATTCTTATTGTTTTCTGTATCATTATTTATTTATGTATTCATTGATATATTGTTTTATATTTTTTATTGTGAGATAAAAATAAAGTGGCATCTTTATGGAAAAAAATAAAATTTATGAGAAATAAAATAAAATAATATAACTTGATATACATAATAATAGAAAAAATTTATTAATTTGCTAGATATTCTTTTTATTCCTCTCCTCTCTTCTCCCCCCTCTTCTTTAAAAATAAGAAATGGTTTGTATTTTATATCATCATTCCAGGATAAATATTATGCAAATTGACGTAGAAAAGCAATATTAAAAAAATTGTTCAAAATATATATGTATCCCAAATATAAAATATATTACATAAGCATAAATTAAAAAATAGAAATAATTTATTACATGAGAAAGCGCGTTTGCAGTTAACAATTACAGAATATATTTATTTATGCTGTATGTTAAGTACGGAAGTTTGATATTCGTGGTCCCATCGATGATAGTCGAGCACAACGTTGATACTGATTGATCATCGAATAACGATTGATTATCAACAAAAATTTCCAACGCAACTAACGAAAATTGAGCTGAGCTCTGTGCTAGCGTCTTTCGAGACTCTGCCGACAGTCATTTTCGGTGTTAATAGTGATAATTAAGTCGAGCTCTGCACTAAGCATCTTGCGTAAAACGCCGGATTCTCGAATTTCTTTCTATTGAGATATGATTTGCACACAAAAGTGCAATATAATAATACAAAATGGAGTCGCTACTTTGGACGCTTATCGTCCCTGGAAAAATAAAAAAAAGAAAAAAGTAGTAAAGAATTTTTCTATCGGCGAGGTTATATTTTCTCCTTAGTCTTAATGTCAACATGTTTCCTATTGATACTCAATTGTCGACATCGGGTATATATTGGCCTGTATTTTCGATATGGAATCTTACCTTGATATGGAATCAAAGCCTTCGCGTTTACTGCAACTTCACCGGTTACATTCAATCCGCGGCATACGTTGACAAAGCATCGTTAATCAAGAACATACGCGGTTAGTTATACGTTCCATGAATCGCCCGCCACTTTAATCGCCACTCCCAACTAAAATTCGTATTCTTTACACACTTTTCACAGAGAAAACAGAAAATTAATCGTCGAGTATTCGCGCTTTCCGTTTAGAAGCAACATGTAGAAATGATTTGCTCATCTCCGAGAAGGGGGCGCACATAACATCAATTGACAGTATTGCCAATAAATTAAAGAGAAATTTGAGTGGTCATCCTGACTAAGGGTGTATCCAGACAAATTTGCACAGTGCATAAACATATGCATAAGGAAATTGATTGGTCCATTTCTTGCAGCATCTTTTCATGGACCAATGTATTTTCTTATGTATATACTTATGCACTATGCAAGTTTGGCTGAATATATCATAAATATCATCGACTTCTATTCGTTACCGCCAATTTCAAACTTGTAACTTTATCTATTTTTCGATTTTGTCGAACATTATCGTTCAATGCATATTTATGCTACACACACAAATTGTGGATCAGAAATACGCATATGAGTTAAATAATACAATAACATATAACATTGTTCCAATTTAAAAATAAATATAATACTATTATATATATATACGTATATAAATCGATATATACAGATGTATATTGGAAAAAAATTACCATAAAACTTGTGCATTGCAAAAATAAATACAATTATAAATAACAAACTTTTCTATTACATAAATTAAAGTTACATATATATGTAAAGCATTTGCTGTTCATTTTTAAGTTTTGTTTGACATGCATTTTAATAAATTCATCGAGTGTGCTGCTCTTTTTTACATCAGTTTATATAAAATTTAACGTTAGAAAAATTACGAGAATGAGCTTGGAAAAATGCTTTATTGTAACTTAATCTATACAATATTTTTTTTTTATCAATAAGGCCGCAATCTAGACAATTATCGTTTTAGACTTCGGTTAACAGATTTTTCTATATCATTGATAGTATAAACATTCGTATACAGAAGTGTAAATAATGTGTTACCGAATTCGGGTGATGTGCATTTCTGTTATACTATTTTCATCATCAAGTTTCCTCGATATCGTAAATAGTTAAAATTTTCCCTTATACCTAGCATTACATTTCTTCTTTCTTTTTTTATAAAGGCGATTACTTTGACTAGACTGGGCTCTTGAGAACGATAATATATATATACTACTTATGATTTAAGTAGTTAGAGAAAGATATTTAAGAAGTAAGCGCGTGGCATGCCTTTTATTTCAAAGATGTCAAATCGTTTTAATAATTACTCCTCGATATTGTTCCTTTTCGTTCCTACATGAACTATAGTTTATTGGAAATAATTGAATTATGTTGGAGTAATTATTAAACCGATTCGACATCTCAAAGAAACTATAGTTTATGTTGGAAGAAGGAAGCAGAAAGTCAATTATTGTAATTCATCGGCATACTATGATACATGAGAGCGAAGTAACTTTTTATTATTTAGATCTGTAATCATACATGTTTATTTTCCGAGGCCATATCTAATTATAATGTCGCGGATATAATAATAAAATAGTGAACATGATTACATTTTACTTACTTAATTTAATATCAATAAAATTAATACCATTTTATATGCAAAAGAAAAGCAGGAAGCAATTATTAGTATTAAAAAAAATTATATTATTTAAAAAAATAAAAATACAAAAAAATAAAAATATAAGAAAATTTTATTCATATAAAATATTTTAAATTTTCGTGAATCTTTCGAATATTTAGAGAACGTATTATCAGTATATATACAGACATGTGTGCACATGTAAATAAGAAAAAGTTGCTTTGCTCCTGTGCGATGCTAATCAATTATAATTGACTTTCTGTTTCTCCTGATGTTTTCTTGCCTGGAAGAATAAAGCCACGCACAAAACAATATAAATGGACAGACTTCCATATCAGTTAAAAAGTCTATCTCTGCATATGCATCGCTCTTAAAGAATAAATGTATATAATATATAACGCTATATAATTAGCTGAGAGTCCGATGTTAGCGCCGACTGACTTTCGACCAGCCATCATCTTCCAGTGGTCGTCTTCTTTCATCGGGTCTAGGTGGAAGTCTGTCATCTTTACGTTCTTCTCGTCTAGAAAGTACAAAAATTTAAATTATAGCTTAATTAATAACATTTACGAAGCTCGCTACAAGTTTACGTAACAATACAACTGAATTTTTGTAATTAATTCAATCGCTATTGAGACATTTACTCGCGCTTGGGCGGATCTCTAGAAGACTCTTGAGCCGGTTCGCGTTTTCGCCAATCCTGATTAGTGCTTCGTGCTGGTTCCTCACGACGTTCGCGATAACCGCCACGGCGATCGGGCATCCTAGCGCGGTCGCGATCTCGATCATCACGTATTGTGGAATCACGTGGAATCTCACGAGATAGAATCTGTAATTACAATTAAACTTAGAAACATTTCATCAAGAAATATATTTAAATTGTAAAAAAGGAATAATAATATAATAAAATATAAGGAAATTAATTAAACGGAGAAAAAGGATGAGGATGGAATATTCTATAATTTTTAAAGGATATTTTATGATATATGCGTATTATATTTGGAAAGTAAACTTACTCCACGTCCATCTATTCCGCGGTCACGGTCAGTACGGTCAGTACGATCAGTACGGTCAGTACGGTCAGTACGATCAGTACGGTCAGTACGATCAGTACGGTCAGTACGGTCAGTACGGTCGCGATCGTCTCTTTTTTCGAAACCACGATTGTCCAATCTATCTCGATCTCTTAAATCATCTCTATCCAAATTATCATCCTTCCGCCATTTGTCCGCGTCCTTCTTCCACCTGTCTGCATCATCGTTTCTTCTCCATTTATCCGCATCACGTCGTTCTGGTTCCCTTCTCTTCCACGAAGAGTCCTCAATTTTGTCATCGCGCTTCCTCCAGCGGTCCGACTCATTTTTGAGCCCATCAGACTCCTTATCATTATTACGCCGCCATGATTCCAATGCTAATAAAGACAAAAGATAGCAAGAATTAAATTTTATCGATATATATATGAAGGTGCTTAAAAAATGCATGAAAATATATATTGTACTCACAAGGTTTCGGAACATCGCGATCACGATCGCGCTCGCGTTCACGGTCACGGTCACGGTCACGATCACGATCACGTTCACCGCGCTGCTCACCATCTCTTTCCAGACGTCGCCATGTCGATGATATTTCTTTATCTCTTTGCCGTTCTTCTTCCAATTTACGTTCAATCTCGGCTTCCTTGGCTCTTATAATTTCGGCTTGCTTCTTAAGCTTGGCTAAACGTTCAGCTTCTCGGGCCTCCTCTTCGGCCCGTCTAATTCTTTCCTCTTCTTCTCTCTTGGCTCTTTCTTCTTCCAAACGTTTCTTCTCTTCTTCCTGTTTAACGCGCAATTCCTCCAACCGTCTTCGTTCCGCGGCCTCCGCACGTTCTTTCTCAAATTTCATCTTACGTTCGGCCTTGCGCTCCGTCTTGCGTTTCAACAGTCGTTTGGCACGCTCTTCGTGCAACAGCTTCTCGAAGTCCTTTAGCTTCTCGAGATATATACTCCTACGCTCGGCTAAGATCTTGGCCAGGAAGCTGTCATGATCCTCCTTCATACGTTCCAAGCGCTCTTGAGTCGCAACAGCCTCCTGCCTTTCTTCGATAGCTGCAGCGATTCGCTCATCCTCCTGCTGCCGCCAGAGTTGTTTCGCTTGCTGCATTCTGTCTTGCACAGCCTTCTCCAATAATGGGATTTCCTCGAGTCGTTTGGCACGCTCCAGGTAATCGACCTTCTTCTCCTGAGACTTGAGCTTTTGCTGCATCTCTCTGCGCTCTTTCTGTAATTCCTCGGCTTCTCGCGCCGCAATCTGCTCCGCGTCCAGTTTCTTGATCTCATCTTCGTCCAATTTCTTTAGCACTTTCTGTCCATGACTCGTCTGCGAGATTTGTTGCATCTTCTCCTTGAGATGGCGATCCTTGATCTGCTGAATCTCACTCTGCTGTCGTTTTCGTTCGCGCTCCTCGCGCTCCTGCTCCAGACGCTTCTGTTCGGCCAGCATTTGCTGTCGTTGAAGCTCTTCCTGTCGGCGCATTTCTTCCTCCTCGCGGACTGTATTGATGTGCTCAATGTACTCCTTCCGCTCTTCGATGATCTTGTGCCTGCCCAATATTCTTTGATGCTCCTTCATCTTGGTTTCGTGATAGTGGGCGACCATTGCGCTACGCAGCTTCTCGCGCTCGAGTTTCTTTTTATTGGGATTAATTACATTTATGGCACGGTGCAACACGGTCGCCATGTTCACCAACTGGCAGCGTATTTGTTCGGACGGCATCGCCTGTAACACGGGACCGTCCGGATGATCCTCTCGTTGCGCCTCTGAGAGATCCACTCCGAAGTGAACACATGTCTTGCCATGATCTATTCTAATCTGCATGTCGTTATAGCGTACGCAGTCTACTAAAAGACGCTCGAGATGAAAATCGGTCGTGAATTTTGCGAGTTCTAAAAGTCTGGAGAATTGTATAGTTTGATAAACTTGAGAAATCTGATGAACGAGACGTACAAGCGTCACATCCTGTAAAGCCGGGATATATTGGGCTAACGGGCTATTTTCGTCCGCCTGTAACGTCTGAATCACGGAATCGACTCTGATACAGAGCTCCAACGGATGAAACTCCACTTCTAACCACGAATACAATTCCTGCAATTGCGGTGACGCGAGACTGACGACGTTCAAACGAACAATATCTTTCAGTAAAGAGATACGTGTCGGTGGTTGCGAGAGGCCTAAAAGCGTCGCGAGTTTTTGTGCCTTTTCCAATGGGCTCTTGTCGGTTTCTATAAAACGATCGAATTCAGGGTGAGCGGATGGCAACGGTATCGACAACGTTGCCAACAATACACGATTGGCCATTCGCTGCTGTTCCTCTGAGGACATGTTCTTCTTCATTTCACGAGAGAGTTGTAAAAGTTTGAACAACGCGGCCGCATGGAAAAGATAATTGCCAGCTTTCCAGAAGACCATAGCCAGTTTTTGGTAATAATTAGCCATCGTTTTTGGTACAGGGAGTTTTTTCGAAAGATTCATCATGCCGTGCACATCCTCCGAAGATTTAAAGGCCTCCTGCCACAATTCCATTTGTATCGCAGAATCTAATTGGTTTAATCTAGTCTCTAAATTCAACTGCTGTGTCTCCGCCTTATTCATAGACACATTCGACACAAGGGGCGGCAATTTGCATATCTCCTCAAGATGTTTCCTTAATTTCTCGCATAACTTTCGAAATTCAGTCTTACGATTGTATTCGAGACAAAATTGAAAAGCCATACGTGCAATATCGTGGTAAAGAGTTTCTACATGTGCATTAGTTCTGAGCAACTCCAAACATTGGCAGTACGATTCCCATAAGAACTTCACCCAGGGTGTCAAAATGGTACGATCACTTCTGTCTTGCGCGTCCTCTCCACTGACAGCTGAGAGCAAAATGCTTTCCGGTGTAGCGAGATTATCAAGATCATCAATGTCAATTACAGCTTGCTGACTCTGTTTCCGTGCCGCATTTGTCTTTTCCTCAGCCATTCTCAAATAGCCACGGATCACATTCTCCAAACTCCCAACATTGACGGATTGAAACATATTTCTGTACTGGAATAAACCTTCCTTCGCTATGTGAGATTTCTTCAATTCCACGCAAAGGTCCAAATACTTGAACATTATAGGTTCCAGTACAGACTCTGACCAATTGTACGTCCATTTTTTATTACGGAAGACTTCTTGTAATGTGTCTAATGCTCGGGCTGGTTTGCCCACTTCAATGAATTCTGTTTAGAAAAAAAAAATATAAATATATTATGTTATTTGATTTAAAAACTAAAATAATTTAATAAGAAACTTATATTGATCATGTGTTATAGTAATCAATCAATTAAGATAGATTAGGATAAAATATGCTTAAAAATATATGATATACTTATACTAATATATATAAAATTAATTTTGAGTGTAAAATGCATTCTTTTTGGCTATGCTTTGCCATATTCTCTGCGCTCAATAGAAAAAGGAAAGAGTGTATTCTAGCATTACAGATAACAGGAACAAAATGAAATTTTGAACAAGTTAATTGTCATAATGTATCAATTATTTATTATGCTTGTGCAATAATCAAGATGTGACATTTATATTGAAGACAATACAGATCTATAGTAAAACATAAAATGTAAAATTGCTATAATAAAATACAATAGTAAATTCTTGGATTTAATGTTTTTTTTTTCATAAAAGTGTTATATATATCTAGCATAAGTACAGAAATATGGAAATTGCTTTACATAGAAGTCCAAAGAATATTCATCAGTTTCTTGGAGTAAAATATATCTTTACGACTTTTTGTACGATAACTCTGATGTTCATGAGACTCATTTAACAATGCAGTAATAAATGTGGACGCATATGTGAAAGAAGTCTATAAAATCTGTAAAATAAGCTGAGACAAACGTAACGACAGGCGATTTTCTGGCACTGTGCGACAAGTACATCGATTGTTAATGTTCTGAAATTACGCTTCACAAGCGAGAACTCCAGCAAATGCATCGCGCAGATTCGCGTTTCTCATACGGAGCTTTAGAAGAATTCGGGTTTTTTTCTCTCGCGTAGCGTTGGAATTAATGCCATCGGCCATGTCATTCCGTGTCACGGCGGACATCAGGTGGAATCGTAACTTACCGTTCGCCCGTTTTAGGGCGTTCTCGGGTCTCTGCCCATAGCGCGCCATGTTTTCTTTACGAAACTACGGATACAATTGCACCATAAACACAGGGTTGAAGGGTCACGTAGCTTGCAAGCGTCTAAATCACGATAACACGATACCGTGTGTCTAGCACATACGTCGACCGCGTGTACCGGATAAGAGAGGCGCATGAGGCGGTTACCGAGGAAGAATGACTTCCGGTACTATGTAACTCAAAACATAAGCTCGTATTCCGTGTCCTGGGATGGATCGCATCTGAATGTAAGAGATTTTCTAGTTAAGAAAATAGATAACTGCATATCAGAGCGATTGTTTATAGGTTATTTATATTTAACAGTATTAAGTTGCTGCTTAAGGCAAATTTGCATGAGCGATTGAATTGTGTCGTGATTGGTCCGTTGATTAGACTCTTTCGATACTTGTCAACGTCGTTTACCGATAGACGTCGCCGCAGTCAGTCATGTAGATGCGCGCCGCGGTAATTCACGCAATAGCGGAGTCATATTGAAGTCGTTCCGTATTTATCGCGATTATTCGTATCTAAAGAGTGTTTAAAGTGTCTAAAAAGTGTCTAAAGTTTTTAAGAATCGGTTGAGAATAATTATTGTGCATGCTAAATTGTGTATCTTGCAGAATATCGTACGTTCGTCACAACGAGTTAAATATTGTACATAATCGTCCGTTTCTGTCGCGATTTCGATACCGGCAATCTCTTTCCAAGTACAAGTCAATCGAAAATCTTTGTGTAGATTTCACTCTCTCCGAATTGCATTGAAAATACAATGGGTACATGCTCATTATCAAATATATATATTTTATCATTCTATAATCATGGTCATTCTATAGTTATGGCAATTACATTGATTAATAATGCACTAGTTTGATCATTCCTAATGTTATTTATTGAACTATTTATTTCTATATTAAATATCTATTGCATGAATTTTGCTCCACATAATGTTCAAGATTTCGAGAATCGCAATTGCACTTCGATAAATCTCGAACTGCAGTCAGTCAAAGGACGCGTCGCGGCGATCGCACGGCTCCATTGAAGTCGCTCCGTGATTCTTATTATTTAAAAGTGATTCTCGCGCCTTTAAACGTAATCGTGAATGTTTTGTAGTGTTACACGTTTGAGTTATTGCGTTAAACATCGCAAACGACTGTTACGACATTCCAATATTGCGTTTTTAATATCGGTATTCTGTTTTCTGTGAATAATTGATCTAAATTCGCTTCGTTTATTTCGCGTTGTGCTCTCACAGTGCATTGTCAATGCAACGAATACATATTCATTGTAAGGTATGTATACTATTCCTGTTGCAGTTAACTGCGATTACACTGTTCATAACAATTCAATTATTTTAATCATTCCTAACGTTTATTGAAATATTTAAAATTTTATTTCTGCATTAAATAACAGCAATGTAAAATTCGTACCACATCGATAATTTTAATAGATCTAGAATTATATTGCTTTTATACAGATTTCAAATGGCAATCAACCACGAAATCACGTTACGACAAATAGATTGCATTCAAATTGCTCTGTATTTTCCGTAATTGTTATTATTTAATAGTGAATTCCGCGTTCGAAATATTATCATGAACGTATATCTGATAAACCATTCACATATATATAATCGCTATTACATGTCTGATTTCAGTGTGACAAGTTTGGTTGCATGCACTTGGAATCATTCAGAATTTTCGTGTATTTCGAGTCATCTTCTCCTCGAAGTGAAGCGAAGGTGTTATTAGTGCACAATCATCACCATCATAATCCTCATCATCTATGTCTCATAAAAGTTGGATGTTGAGTTCAAGAGAAATAACAAAAATATTCTTGTTAGAAAGGTAAGAATTAAACATATTACATTGAACAGATTAAGTTGTCATTGAATTACTCCATATTTTTCTCATATTGCTGTTATCTCAAATTATTTTAGTGGTATGAGACAATTTTAACCATTTTAACCATATTTGATTGCATTATGCTAAATTTAAAATTATAAACATACTTATTTCATTGGCTAGTTATGATTTTGCATTATTACATTTGTTTTTCTCACAGAAAAAAAATCGTTAAAAACAACAAATTTATATTTCATACAAAATGGAATAATATATATCAAATAGGTTTTTGTTTGTTTTTAATCTAGCAATGTTTCATATAGAATTTACTATAGCGTCGTATGGAAAAAGTAAAAAAAACAAAAAAAGAAAAGTATTATGTAAATTGTTACATTTATTTAGTATATATAAAAATTTTTTAAAAACATAATTAACAATATAATAAAAGTAAATATAGTAAAGTAATATAGTAAATATGTGTATAGTATAAGTTAATGTTGAATAAGATAATACGACATTAAGATGCAACAAACTACTGATGATAAAATATTTACGAATCTAATAAACAATTTATACTTACATTTTAATACAAAATCTATATAAAACAGATATATTGATAATCTTATTATTTATTCTTATTCTTCGTGTCTCAGCATTCACAGATTTTGATTCATAAAGCTTATATATTATCACAACATAAAAAGATTTTCAGCAATAGCTAAATTAATAAGAAAACTTTCTACTGCCGGTGCTAAATTTTTTTCTCTAAATATCTCAATGGAAATCATTTTTCTGCCATCCGGAGTTTGAACTGTTGCTAACGAAGTTAATTGATTTAGAAGATCTTGCGTTTTGTCACTTATCTCAGATATAATTTGTGCCTCTGTATAATTTTGATTTTCGCACAACTGAACCATAAATAAGGCTATTTCCTTATGAGTTTTTGTCATTGTGAGACTTTCTGAAATGATAAATTTAAATTATTAAGAAATATTGCTTTATTACAATAGACAATGCTTATATTCTATTAAGTTTAAACGAAAGTTGACTTTAATTTATTTTTTGTTACCTTTTGCATGCGATGCTACAGTAATTTCTCTAGCAGGAATGTTTACAAGTAGATCATACAAATCTGTCCTTGATGATATTGAACTGTTACTACAGCCTGCCACATAGTATGAATATTTCTATAACACATAATGATAAAATTAATAACGATAATAACAAAATCAATATAAATTATCATTGTTATAAGATATATACCTTTAATTCAATTAATTCATCGTTTACCAAGTCAATCCAAGGAAAGAGGTTGTCAGTAACTTTCCTATGTTTCATTAATGCAGGAAATGTTCTTATCCACTTAAGAAGTTGCTCTAAGCTATGGTGATATATGATTATCTTCTTTTTCAATAAGAGGGCAGTATATATTAAAATTGTTTCCAATTCAAATGTTTTGATCAACTCTCTGACATTGGTACTGGCTGCAAAACGATGAGTATTAAAATCATCAGAGACAAATGTTCCATTCTCTTGTGTCGAACATGACCCTTTTGTGAATACAGAAAGATACAATTGCAAAATTTCTGTTGGTTTCCCAGTTTTGCAATACATTTTACTAAGAACCCTTGAAAGAACTTCATACTTTTGTGGATTGAAATCCTTTGCAAAAAGGACCAATGCAAACTGTTTCACCTAAAAAGATTATAAAAATTAAAACAAAACTTCAAATACATGATATATTTCTTCAGTGAAGAATGTACAAGCTTATAGATATCTACTTTTGGTAATTTATCAGAGTCAAAAACTTCACTGCAATGTATATAAAACCAGTCATGGATGTGTCTTGCACATACAAATACATGGGGAGAATTATGTTCCAATTTCAAGTTGCATTTTCTCGTGACTACAGTCTTCTGAGATTCCGTTACTGCAGGATATGACCATGTCCATAAGACATCTCCATTGCAATCTTTCTCTATAATTCATGTTCTGAATTAATCAACTATCTTATTGGATATATAAAAATGTTTATTCCTGTTTATTTCTCTATTAAGAAAATATACTATACCTATTATACTACAAGAGAGTAAATCCGTCAATGGTGCCATTTGTAGGTCCTTTTTGAGATTTAGCAACCAATATCAACAATAACACTGCAAGCAACACATTAAAGTCTTTGGCATTCTCTATGTATTAATAATTAGATTACCAAATATTTATTTTACTATATTTTGTCTTATATAAAATGGTCTGCATATGTGTTGTTAAATATTACCAATCTAATGACAAATTATTATGTTTGGTTACTATATCACATCACAAACTTAAGGTTATGTTTAAATTGCTGACGCCTTCTATGTGCAGTCTGCAGAGAGATAACATGTACTTTCTGCACTTTAGTTTAAACTAAAAGGATATATGTACTTTGCTGTTTATTTAAAAAAAATACAATTAAGAAATTATTAAAATTTAATACGTAACTAATCATATCGTTGTAGATAATAATTGCATTGAATTGAAAATATAAGTAATAAATTGGAAACTTTTTGTAAATATGATTGAATAATGTATCGCAAATTCGTATAATTTTTATTTATTTTATTATTTTATTTTTACAACTTGTACTATTTTGCTTATGAAATAAGAATGATTCGTTTGTAGTGATTTTGCAATAACAATTTATGATTTTTTGTGCTTTGGTGCTTTTCTAATTGATTTTTTGTGCTTTTCTAAAAGCTGCTTATTAGATACAACGCCAATATGTAGTTTACATAAATTACTATTGCATACACAATTTTCTAATGCATTTAGTATTTTGTTGGTCGAAATTAATTAATACATAATTAAATATTTATTATTATTATTATTATAATCATAGCAGCCTTTATTATTTCAACTGTTTAATTATGTATATAAGGGAGGGGTTTTACAATATAATGTTAATTGCAAATTTATGCTATTAAAGCTGTTAGAATTTTATCACATCTATTTACAAAAATATATATACAAATTTATGATCTATAATCTTTATAGTTCATGAATATCACTGCGATAGCATAAATATATAATTGAAAATATCACGACATATCTCGAAGAATAGCTTAGTCTAATGTTTTGAGAAATGCATAATGATTAATTTGTTGTAAATTTATCATTATACAAATTTTACAAATTTTTACTTAAAAAGTATCCTAAATTTTACTAGATTATCGAGAATGTAAAATTGAAGGAACAATAATCATTATGTGTTACGTTACATTATTTTTGACAAATGATATAAATGGTCATTTAGTTGTATCGCGCGATTGCGATGTATCGTTTGACAGTGGTATTTATAAAAAAATAATAAGTGATATGAAAAACAAGCCTTATTATTGTAAGTAACTAATGATCATGTTGATAAACGATTGCAATTGATGCTTTTGTCGCTACTTTAATACTTCTCTCTCTCTCTCTCTCTTTTTCGTCTTTTTATTCGTCTTATTTACTCGTCTAGTAATCGTTTTAGTCAATCATTCTTTAATGAGCAAATTGCCACTTGGCTGTCGGGAGCCTTGCCGAAGGGTTTGTATCCATCGGGTGTCTCGTATACGTTCACTTGATATACCAGCATGGTTTCATAGCCGAACACATCCGTGCCAAGTTGCTGTTGACATAAAAATATCAGTCAAGTATTAAATCAATCCGTATCGTAGATGATTCGTATATAAAATAAGAGTTACGCGATCTTGTTAAATAAAAATGCTTACTTGGCATATTATTTATAAAATATCGGATTAAAACGTATAGAAGAACGTGATAAAATATTACTCGCGTATATTTTATCGCGTTTCTGGCGTGTTACGAGGAAAAAACATTTAGGAATTTATTTGTCAAATCATACACTTTCTGCATTACTAACTAAGCTATCAATAGATTAGATTTACCTGTGTGAGGCTACTAGTATTTGTGGTGAAAATTCCGGCGTATCCTTTCTGCTTAGTAAGTTGTAAGCAATATTCTTCCATTTGTCTTATCACGAGCACGTTCTCCGCAGCAGTCAAGTCGCTGTCCGTTGCCATCATGTAATTGTGGATGATCTGACCCTTGCCTTTCGGTAATTTGTATTCTCTGATCGGTCCCTCCAGGTACTCGAGAAAATCAAAAACGATCATCAGCTTGGAGTTCAATATTAGCTCAGGTTCGTCCCAAAGATCGAAGTTGAGTGTAATCCCGATCATTTTGCCGCTTTGCGCCGACTTCATCGCAAAACTCAGATTTTTCTCTACGAGAGGATTCCACATGGCCTCCATTAATTCCCGATAATCGGCTCTCGTTATGTCCGGCATTAGCCACTGCTCCAGATCAGCTTTCGAATAGAAGCTCTCTGTAATTATCCTGCAAATTTAAGCAAATATTTACCACGACTCTTTCATGCGCGAATTTGAAAGCCGAGTTTTTTTACGACACTCACGTGATTGCGTCCTCTTTGTGGCAATCGCTTAACGGTTCGAAGATGTACGACTTTTGATCGATGGTTTCCTTGAGAGATTCCTCGTCGGACGATATGAATTTCATGCGGTTCAATATTTCGGCCAGATCTTTTGCCATGATGAAATCCGTGATGCTGATATGATAATCCTGGTCTCTCAGTTTAGTCACGGTGTATATCGAATTCAACGAGTTTCCGCCGAGCTCGTAGAAATTCGCGCGCATCTTCACTTGTGAGCAACCATTGCATCCTATTATAGACGCGACCGTTGGAAAGAGAACACGGGCTTTCGCAAGATCTTCACTCGGCACATCGCTGTAATCGCAGTTTGTAGCAATATCGTTTTCTGTGGAAGAATAAGTCTAGTCAATTGACTTCTGTCCTTTGCGAATAAAAACAAGTGAGAAGTGTTTTTTTTATTTGAATTTATTTCGAATTTCTAATCTCTTCGAAAGTAGAAATTATAGTTTTTATTAAATGTTGAAAGTTTAAAATTTTTTTTGCTAGAAAAAATTTATTTAAATTTTTGAGCGTAATAATATAATTTCATAGTAATCTGTAGCAATTTTATGACTTGTAATGTATGTATATTGCTATGCGTATTTTACATGTAAATGATAAAATAATTAGATTTAGTGCAAATATATTAATGTACAATACTTAATTTGTGTACTTTACATCTCAAAGAAATAGAACAATAGATTTTAGAATAGAACGATAGAATGATATATATGTAAAATCATTGATTCGACGTACCATCATTAGGGCAAGACGATTCGTATTGCTTCAATAATGTCTGTCGATCCGTTTTTCCATTAGTTAAAAGAGGTATGTGATCAACAATAATAATTTGTGGCAACATGTATGGCGGTAACGTCCTTTGAAGAAAACTTTCAATTTCTTTCGAGCTGGATATGGTTGTGCCGTCCGCGATCGTAATAAAGGCTACCAGTGCCTAAAAATACGAAAAAATAGGATTTATTTATCATTAACTCAACAGAGGAAAAATTAATTAATCTTTTTCTCAATGATTTATAATATCGATTCTTCATAATTTCAGTGAGTTAAGAAAAGTAAACGAATATTTACCTGTGATAGTTCACCAGGTTTGTAGCAAAGAACCACGACTTTATCGATATCGGGTATCCTGGCAATCACTTTTTCCACTTCCGTGAGGTCAACACGGTGACCTCTAATCTTGATCTGCGAATCCACTCGTCCTTCATAAATTATCGAACCTTTAACGATTTTAGCGTAGTCACCGGTGCGAAAGATCTTTGGATACTCTGCAAATAAATCAGTCTTAGGAAATTTTTGGCGCTTATAATTTCACTGCTGAAAATTTTAGGAAAGAAAAAACTTTATGCAATTATTTGTTGATAAAATTTTCTATCATTTAATAATAAGACAATTGCGACGTTTTGATTATCGCAATTTTGCTCGCAAAGGGAAATCGAAATTTATTGAACAGAAGTGTGCATATCGCAAAAAATTCTTCGAAATAGCAAGACACGACATTCGATGTATCACGTTATTGTATATTTTCTTACCTGGATCGATGGCGTGAGGATTGTCCAAAAATTTATGTGCGTCTCGTCCGCGTATGTAACCCGCGGCAAGATTCCTTCCAGCTACGATCAGCTCTCCCACTTCTCCTTGAGGAACTAATCGCATGTCCTTGTTCACGAGGTAGATTATGCAATTGTCGATTGGTTTTCCTGTAAGAAAAGTACGTAGAGTGTTTACATATAGTTAGCGATTATTATCAATAGACTGTCAAATATCAATTTTTTTGTCACTTTATTTTTGCGCAGGTCTTTAGCACGTTTTGGCGAATGAAAAATTATTCTTACCAATTGGCACTTTCTCCATTCCTTGTAATTGTGCGCGTTTGCTCAAAAGGTAGTACGTGACGTCACCCATGACTTCCGTACTACCATAGAAATTAGCCAATATCTTGTCCTCATTGTTAAACTTGGCAAAAAATTGATCGGCCAATGCGACTGGCAAGGTTTCTCCGGAACAAATCCAGAGTTTCAAGCGATTCAGAAGTTTGTCATTCTTATCCTGCGTAATGCGACAGCAGATCGTATATTAGATATCGCAGTAAACGGTGGGCGGTGGCGGATTTTCTTATTGTATAAATTATAACGCCTCGGATATCAGTTTGCGATATTATATCATTATGCTACATCAATTTCTATGTAATATTGTGCATTCTATGAATATTATGCATAAGAGTCTCTTAAAAGATCATACTATTTTAAAACTTTCTGAAGTCGCTCAGGCGAATAAATTAGAAACATTACACTATCTGCGCGATTCTTACTAATTGAACGTGTAATCTGATACATTTGATTTATACAGGGTGATTATCAGAAAGGTGTCTAAAGTAAATTGGTGTTACTTTGCAATGAACAGAATAAAATAAATTTATTTTGTAGAGAAAACTTATCAATTCTATTCTATATAGTATGAAAGAAGTATACAATAATTAAATAATTAAAATAAACATGATAAAAAATGCTACAAATTTATTTGGAAGCTCAGTGATAAATATTTTCAAAGTGTTATCCATCGAAAAACACTGAGCTAAAACAGAGTATTCGAATATATGCATTCAAGATATATTTTCAGTTATGTTAAAAAGTGTATTTAACAATTTTCAGAAATTTTTTAGTTTTTGTGCCACTTCTGATAGACACTTTGAAAATATTTATTACTGAGCACCCAGACACACACAACACAAGATTTGTAGCATTTTTTTATTTTAATTAATAATTATATACTTAATATATGTATACTTATATAATTATGTACATAATAATTATATACTTCTTTCATATTACATGTAAATTTGACGGGTTTCTTCAACAATATGATGTTTAATTCATTTTGTTCTGTCCATTCGATGAAAAATTATAGCAATTTACTTAAACACTTTTCCAATGGTCACCCTGTATTGAAACTAAGTGTGATATGCATGTTTTTTACATTAATTACATTACATTGCATTATGCGAAATAATTACCTTAATTACCAAGTCATTACACTGATCGGACAATTATCGAAGTGTGAACATATTTTACTTATATAGCTAGTAGCTTAATTATTTAAATAGCTCGTAATTTGATAAATTTATTATTCTTTAATTAATGAAATGCACAAGGCTACTGTGTAACATTTTTGCGTGCGTTCAGAGAAAGAGCGCATGCATTCGCACGTTTTATCTTATTGATTACGAATTGATCATACCGCATATTTCATGCGCAATGAAGTATGAAAATCCTATTTATTTTAATAGTCTTAAAGACTAGTTAAAAAAGCAATATTCTTCATATTTTATACAACATTGCGTCATGATTAAAATTCCAAGAAGCATACATAATAATGAGAAACATTACAAAAGAGGTAGATACATGGAATGCATTTAAGCATATACTCACTTGTAGACCCAGATACATGAGCAATGAGCGCAGTAACGATGGCACGAGAACTAAACGTTGTATCTGAAGCATAAATGAATTTCCATTTGCCGCAAATCACATTACATACATGATTTAAGTTGAAATTTTGCTAGAAACAATATGAGACAATTTTGAGAGATTTTAAGTTGGCTTTGATTAAAGATTGAATTTCTTAATCAATATAATTTCTTCATTTCCTGAAATAAATTTGCTATCAGATGCGATTATATTAAAATTATTGGCATATTGGAAATATGTTTTTTGTGCTATTAATTATTGCGAAATAACCAGAATAAAAGAAAATGTGCTTGTGCGACTATAGTTATTCAATTTAGTTTATCAAACTAATTTTTATATCGAAGATTTCGTAATAAAAATCTTTGATAATTCTCACGGTTTTAAAATACGTTCGAGTTCAAACATAAGTTTGTCAAGTTTAAAATTTTTGATGATTATATATCTACTTAGAATAAAATCATAGTTATGGAACATTTTTTATAATGAAAATTTTTTACACTTATTCTAACGATCGATGAATTAGTAAGATTTAAAATTACCTGGTGTTTCTCTAAAAGCGGTACGAACCTCTCCGGGTCTTTCGTCACGCTTTTTGGTACGACCACCAAAGTACGATTCTGTAGAAGCGGTCCCCAAATCTCCGGAACGCTATCGACGAATGTCAGGGAAGTCTTGAAGACGCAGCGTTCTTCATCATCCGCGTACGGAAGTTCCCTCCATTGCCATTGCAAACGGTTCAATAGAGTAGCATGCGGTATAAGCACACCTTTAAGAAAATATATTATGCAATTATGATTTTGCAAGTTTTACGTCAAGAATAAACTACAAAGTTGTAGCGTTCTATTTTTTATACTAGAAGTAATCTGCTAATAGTTTATACTAGCAGAACTTACTAGAAGTAAAATTACTACTTTTATACGGAGCAACTTAATGACTTATATTTGCTGTGTATCATGCTACATAATAAAACCGTGAGATCACAGTAATTTAAATCCGGATGTTATTAGCTTGCGACGGAAAAATACAAACTATTATACGCACGTGCGTAAAGGCATGTAAGAGGCAAGAAATGTGCTGCTAATAGCTTGTAAAGGAATATTTTAATAACAAGCAAGGGATAATATCGCAATTAATCTTTTTATGATAGACAGATAAAATTTATTAAGATATGAGTTGAAATGCATGTACCGATACTTGAGATAGTTTTGTACGCGCGCGTAGGTATTATAATATTATACAGGGTGTCCCATTTAACTTGAGACAACTAAATATTTCGAAAAATAAGCATTGTACGAAAAAATGTCCCAAATAAACTTTTAATACTATCAAGGGGGACGTCTGCCTGTGTAAAAATTAACC